CCTGCCTGGACAGCAGTGGCAGCAGCCTCTTGCCAGGTCCTCCCTCCCCTGCAGGCTCCCACCAGTGAGTTCCAGTGGAGGGAGGGGGACAATTTTGCCCTGCAGGACATTTGGCAATGCCTGGAGACACGTTTGGTTGTTACAACTAAGGGGAGTACTACGGCATGTTATAGGTCAAGGCCAGGGATGCAGCTAAACTACAGTGCACAGCCCAGCCCTGCACAACAGAGAATTACCTGGCCCGGTGTCAACAGTTGAGAAACCCTGTAATCACACACCTTCCTGGCCCTGGAGCCTCAGGCTACAGACCAGGACCTTAGCTCAGCATTTAAGGCCCTTCAGGCTACCCCACTCACCTGTTCCAGCTGCATGAGACCACCCAGACCTTGCTGAATCCCCCTCCCTTCAGGGCCTGCCTTCAGCCCTCCCTCAGGGAGGCTCCCCTTCCCCTGTAGCGTTAGTTTGCCCCTTCCTCTGCTCCCACAGGCCTGGGTGCACAGGCAACACGGCGCTGCCTGTTAAGGCACTGCCAGCCTGTCTCTAGCTCTGAGTCGGGTACTTCCTTATCAACCCTAACATTTGTGGAGCACTTACTGTGGACCCGACATGCTTCTAAGCCCACTTGCACCTCAAAACAACCTAATGAGCTAGGTACATAGAGGGAGTCCCTGGGGGGTGCAAACGATTAACATGCTTGGCTGCTAATTGAAAGGTTGGAGGTTTGAGTCCCTCCAGAAGTGCCTCAGAAGAAAGGCCTGGCAATCTATTTCTGAAAAATCAGCCACTGAAAACCCTACAGAGCACAGCTCTACTCTAACACACATGGGGTCACCGTGAGTCAGTCGACTCAGCGGCAACTGGTACTAGTACTGTCATGGAGCGGTAAAGTGACTTACTGCGAGGTCCCCCAGCTAGTTAGTGGCAGAGTCAGCACTCAGGCCTGAGCAGCTTGGCTCTGGAGCCCACACTTTGAACCACTGCACTCTCCTGCCTCCTGTGCCAGTAGGGAATGGGGCACGGCCGGCCGACTCCAGGGAGCCCCAGCTGCCGTCTCACTGTCCCACAGAAACGTCTGGCTCTCCCCAGGGATGAGCCAGAAGCACTTTACAGTTTACAGAGCACTTTCTTTCCCATTGCTCACTGGATTTAGTAATTTCTGTATAAATAAGTTTATGTGGCTCAAAAATCAAAACACAAAAACCTAGTAAAAGAAGCCAGTCACAAAAAACCACATCTTGTATGACTCTGTTTCTGTGAAATGCCCAGCACAGACAAATCCATAGACACAGAAAGTAGATTAGTAGTTGCCTGAGGGGAGCCCCCGTGGCACAGTAGTTAAGTTTTCAGCTGTCAACCCAAAGGTCAGAAGTTCGAATCCACCAGCTACTCCTTGGAAACCCTACTGGGCAGTTCCGCTCTGTCCTGTAAGGTTGCTGTGAGTCAGAGTCAGCTTGATGGCAGTTTGCTTTGGTTTAGGGCTGGGGGGTTAGGGAAAAAATGGGATGTGACTACTAATGGTAATGGGTGTTTTGAGGGTGATGAAAATGTTCTAAAATTGATTGTGGTGATAGTTGCACAACCTTATGAACACACTTAAAAAACTGAATTGTACACTTTAAATGGGTAAATTGTATGGTGTGTGAATTGTATCTTGATAAAGCTGTTTAGAAAAAACCTTGCCCTGTTCCAGTCCTGTATCCACCTACTCCTCCAGCTACTTACTGGTTTTCGTGTATCTGTTCAGTGTTTCTTTGTGTAGATACAAGCAAGCACGGGAACATAGGATTTCCCCACCTTTTTTTTTTTTTTTAAAAAAAAAAACAAAAAAAACCAGAAGTGAGAATAGAATACATCCTGGTCTGTACTTTGCTTTTTCACTTCCTGTATCTTGGAGATCTTTCCCCTTCTCTATAGAGAGCTTCCCCATTCTTTTTCCATTGTATTCTGTTTTATAGACAGACCATTATTTATTGAACGAATCCCCGAATGATGGACATTTGGGTTGTTTCCAAGCTTTTGCTCTTACAAACAGTGTTGTAGCCGATAACCATGTCCTGTCTTGCTCTGCCCCGTGTACAAATGGAGGGTCAACTCCAGAAAGAAAACTGTGGGTCAGAGAGGTGGTGCCAAATCGCCTTCCAGCAGGGATGATACCAGTTTACATTTCCACCACTTGGAACTGGTGCCCATTGCCCCACAGCCATGCCAGCAATGCATGTCATCACCTTTTGGGATTTTTGCCAATCTGGTAGGTGAAAAATGGTCTTTCAGTATAATTTTAATCTCCATTACTCCTACAAGGAGGTTGAGCATCTTTTCATATAAGTAACACATGGGGTCGCCATAAATGTCGGAATCGGCAGCAATGGGTTTGATTTTATTTTTTAAGCCATTTATATTAACTATTTCTTTCGCTATGACGGGTCTCTTCAAGCCCTTTGCCGCATTTTCCTGTTGAGTCTTTGGTCTTTTTCCTACTGATTTATAGGAGCTTGTTGTATATTAGTGACACTACCTCTTTGCCTGTGGTAAGAATTGTAAGTATGTTTTTCTTATGATTTTGTTTCTGGAGTTATTGCCATATGGAAGGAAGTTGAGAAGGCAACGTTTTTTGTTCTGGATTTTCGGGCAGGGATAAAAAGCCTTTCAGACCTCAAGGTTATAAGTGAATTCTCCCTTTTCTTCTAACATTTCTCTGCAAGATAGAGTTCTGTCCCTTAACGTGGGTTGTGGGCCTTTTGTGGCCCCACCTCGTGCTTCCTGTGCCTTCAGGCTCACCCCACCTGTGCTTCTCTGACTAGCCCGTAATTTCTCACCTCCTTCCCTTTGCACTGCTGCTGTTCCCTGACCCCTCGCCCCATCTGGGTCAGGTGCCTGCTTTGCTCCCCAGCCCCATTGGCTCCCCTTGGACACTGTGCCGAGACCTCTGCCTCTTTCCAGCCTCCCCCAAGAGGCCTGGAGCTCCTCCGGGCAGACGCCGAGTTAGCCCAGGCTTGGTGCACGGCAGTCCTCAGAAAGGCTGCGTGGGGAGCCTGGGACGGCCCCAACGGGCCAAGGGTGACCCTGGCCCCTGCTCTTCCCCCGCGGGCAGGTGCCAACATTGCGTCTGGTGAGGAAGTGGCCATCAAGCTCGAGTGCGTGAAAACGAAGCACCCCCAGCTGCACATTGAGAGCAAGTTCTACAAGATGATGCAGGGGGGAGGTGAGGGCCACGAGGGGCCTGGTGGGGCTGTGTGGGGTGGGGGCCAAGGGTTTGTGCGTGCATGTGTGTGTGTGCACGTGTAGAGGGCGGACAGGTGGTCTGCGGGGTGGACCGGGATGGCCCCTGATGGAGCCCCCTGCCTGGCCCGCAGTGGGGATCCCATCCATCAAGTGGTGTGGAGCCGAGGGCGACTACAACGTCATGGTCATGGAGCTGCTGGGGCCTAGCCTCGAGGACCTGTTCAACTTCTGCTCCCGCAAGTTCAGCCTCAAGACGGTGCTGCTCCTGGCCGACCAGATGGTGAGCCCCCACCCACTCCTGGGCAGCTAACCGCAGGCCACTTCTCTCCCAGCATCCACTTCCTCCTCGCCAGTGGGCATGGGATCCCCACCCTGCCTCCCACCTCCCGAGGACCCTAGAGGAGGAGGAGGTGATGACAGGGACATAGCAGGGGCCTAGTTCCTGTACCAGAGGTCCTTGACCACTGACAGTAGAATCCCAGGGGTGTATGTTTAAAATGCAGATCCCCAGGCCCACCTCCAGACCTGCTGAGTTGGGCTCCTGGGGGAGGGCCTGGGACTCTGCCCTCAGGTGATTTGCAAGCCTGTGATCACACAGGCCTGGTGTGTCCCAGTGTGGTGACACTAGGTGAGTGGCCAAGCTCCTGTGAGCCTCAGTGGGCTTGTGGGAGAGTTGCCCTGTTGTCAGGTTGGTGTGGGGGTATGATGCCGCACAGCGCCTGGACTAGAGCACATACCCCACAATGAGCACTTATGAGGTCCAAAGGCCCTTTTAAACGTAAGGGAGGAAATTAAAAAATACAAACCATAGGATTTTGACCTGGAGCGGCTCACACAGATCGTGTGCAGGACGGTAGGCTTGTGCCAGGGCTGGCTGCAGCCATTTTAGGCCAAACGTGTGTGGAGGAGGGTTGTCAGAGTCTCATGGCGTGGGGGACTCAGGGATTCCCAGTCGTTCAGGAGCCCCCAACCCCAGCTGTGCCGAAGCCTTGATGTACAGATGGGAGATGGAGCCTGAGGCCAAGAGAGGGGCAGGGACCTGCTGCAGGACAGGTCACGTGCATATGCTCATTTGAGTTTTTAAAATATTGTTTAAAGGAAAGAGAAGGGCACGGGTATCTGCCTGACTTTGGTGTCCTTTGGAAGCTAGGGGACAAGTGTCCTTTGTGCGCTTGAACCACTTGGCCCATCCCTGTCGCCTCTGCCCGAGTTTAGGTTTCTTTGGTGCTGCTGCCCTCCCCCGCAAATCTGGTTGCCCCTCTGACCCTGGCTCCCCCAGTCCTATGGGCATGCAGAGTCGGCCGGGCGAGGCTCTCACTGGGGCCCAGGTACCTTTCTAGTGTTGGGTTTATTTCTGGATCTTGCCATTAGCTTTCTGACCTTGCTGTCCTGCCCTCCCACGCACACATGCTCACACACAAACTTGGTGAACTCCTCCTTCAGAGTTGGTCTCTAATGTCACCTCCTCCAAGAAGCCTCCCCTGACCTTCCCCTTGAAGTTTTTTTATATAGTCATAGGCAGATCTTTCTTCCCAGCCTGGAGCAGGAACCCTGTGTGTGTTTTCCATCTCTGTGGCCCCAGCCCAGGGCCCGGCCTAGAGTGAAGACCCCTGTCAAACTCTCACTGAATGACTTGCTGCCCCTCTCCTCCCTAGATTAGCCGTATCGAGTACATCCACTCCAAGAACTTCATCCACCGAGATGTCAAGCCCGACAACTTCCTCATGGGGCTGGGGAAGAAGGGCAACCTGGTGTACATCATTGACTTTGGCCTGGCCAAAAAGTACCGGGACGCCCGCACGCACCAGCACATCCCCTACCGGGAAAACAAGAACCTGACCGGCACTGCCCGCTACGCCTCCATCAACACACACCTGGGCATTGGTGAGTGCATGTGTGCCAGGCACAGTGCTCCTGGGATCTGCCTGCCATGGCCTTGGCTTTCTAGAGTTCCCAGGCATTTTTCCAGGGAACCTCACTCCGAGAGAGTCCCCTCCCCAGCTGCCCGCAAGCCTAGACTTGTGTCACATCTCCCCTTCTTAAGAGGAGCTGCAGTGTGCCAGCTCCGTGGGCCCCCATGGGCCTGACCGCCTCCTTACAGCAGCCTTGGGAGGGGTGCAGGCGTGTCCTTCTTTGCACAGTGGGGAGCAGAGGCTCTGAGGGTTAACCTAGGTTGCTTAGGGTCATGCAGCTTAGCTAGTGCCAACGTGGGAATTGAGCCCAGGCCTGGCTGATGCCACGTTGGCCCAGTGAGGAGGCACCAGGGACGCCTGCTGCCTAGTTGTTGAGTAAATAGACACCTGAGCTGGAAAAACTGGGCCCAGTTGAATTGAAAGATCTGGAGCCTCAGGTCCCGTCTTGTGAAAGGGGATGACAGTGCCCGTTCACAACAGGGCTACAGTGAGCCAGCGTGTGATAAGGGGCCCAGTGAGGGCGTACTCTCCTTAGTTGAGGAGGATGTTCTGCAGGAGAGGGGCCTGGCCCCCACTGGCCAAGGACTTCACCCTGTCCCCGACTCTCTGCACAGAGCAAAGCCGCCGAGATGACCTGGAGAGCCTGGGCTATGTGCTCATGTACTTCAACCTGGGCTCACTGCCCTGGCAGGGCCTCAAAGCGGCCACCAAGCGCCAGAAGTACGAGCGGATCAGTGAGAAGAAGATGTCGACGCCCATCGAGGTCCTGTGCAAAGGCTACCCCTGTGAGTAGCCCCACCCCAGGTCCCGGGGGGTGGTGTCAGCCCTTTCCCAGGGGAAGATAAGGCCACACAAAGCCTTAGGCAGCTGCCACTGCCTCTGGCCCCAGCACATTAATCACAGGCTGTTGTTGCTGCTCAGTTAGCAGGCCTGGACCCTCCCCGGCCTGGCTGTCGTGTTCCAACTATTCGCCAACCCACTCTCCTGCTTGATCTCCCAAGGGCTCTCTCCTGCTTGCTTGCTTTCTTTCTACTTATTTTGAGAAAGAAGGGAAAGTTATTCTCCTGTTTCTTAGTTCGTGTTGAGAGGTCCTATGGGGTTTTGAACATTCTTGAGCTTATGACAGCTATTGATCTGCGATGTACATGATCCCCAGAATGTTTGGCAAGAGCAAATGAAGAGCTGTCAACTGGCTTTCTTTAGAGCCAGCTTACTGGAAGAGGGTCACTTGCTCATTGTTTACAGATCTTTCGTTGCTCTCATCACGTCTTCAGAGCCTTTGCTCACAGGTAGCTTAGGGTTTTATCACCATCGGAAGGACCATAGTTCTGTTCTGCCTTCATCTTGCCCCCTTTTAGATTGAAAGTATTTGTAGGGACAGTGTGTAGGTAGGACAACTGGCTGCTGGGGACCTTGGGAGCATGGGCCTCACAGTGGCCTCTCTGTCCCCTGCCAGCCGAGTTCTCAACATACCTCAACTTCTGCCGCTCCCTGCGGTTCGATGACAAGCCCGACTACTCCTACCTGCGCCAGCTTTTCCGCAACCTCTTCCACCGGCAGGGCTTCTCCTACGACTACGTCTTCGACTGGAACATGCTCAAATTCGTGAGTCACCTGGAGGCCAAGGCGGTCTTGGGGAACTGGATGGGGCAGGCCCTGACTCAGAAGGTCAGAGTGACCCAGTGGCGGGCGGGGCTCCCGAGTAATGGCAGCTATGAGCTGGACAGTGCAAGCGACCTCTCTGGGGTCCCAGGGCCCCCGTGGTACCCCCACTCCACCCTCATCAGTGCTGACAGCGGGCACCACCACGGGCAGCAAGGCCCGGGTGGGGCACCACCTCCCACCAGAACGAGGCGCGCCTGGCTCAGCTTCAAGTCCCTCCTAGGTGCCCTCGGTGGGGCCTGGATGGTGCTGGCGAGCCCGCCTGCCGCCTTGATTGTTGCCTATGCCGTTCTGCTCTTCCTGTTCTGCACCTCCCAGGCGGCGGCCCTCACCGTTGTCCCTCTGGCTAGCCTGGACCCATTCATGCTGGTTTCTTTCTTCTTGGTCATGGGACCCTGGGTCTTGCTAGGCGGCCATTCTGTCTCCCTCTTTTAAGGGTCCCAGGGTGGGTTGAGGGAAAGCATTCGTCAGCTGTGCCTGGAACTCCGGAAGCTGTGAAATCATATGTCTTGTTTCAAATCTCTTCTGGAAAAGGGGGCTTCCTCGAGCCAGGCTCAGCCCTGTGACAGAGAAGCCATTGCACCACCCCGTCCCCGCCCCTGTCCCTGCGCTGGGCCCACATACCCACCCGTGTATTGGTAAGGACCCTCCAAGGCCTGGCCTTTCCAAGACTTACACCTTGGCTGGGCGAGCGCAAAAGGCTAAGCATCCACTGTGCTGTCTCTGTCCCTTCCAGGTGCCCGGCCCTCCTGGGCACCCAGGGCCCTCCAGATAGGCCTGTGGAGGAGGTGGAAGAGGTGGAGGAGCTGCCCCCCCAAAACTACTGGCCTGTGGTCTGGACTCCGGGCCCCCATTTCTGATGTCACCAAGTGTCAGATGCCTAGGAGGTGTCCCATGGGATGGTGGTGGTGACCCCTGCACCTGAGAGGCGGTGTGCAGTGGAGTGGGCATGGCTGGTAGAGAAGCCCCTGCCACAGATCCTTGAGAATGAAGCAGGGCTTGAGGGCCTGGACAGCCTGGAGGAGGGATGGCGGCCACCGCCCTAGAGGGGCCTGGTGGGAGCGGGCATCAGGAGAAGTCTCCACAGCTAGACCCGGCCGGCAGCCTCTGTACTAAACCTGAACCCATTAAAGCCTCCCTGCTCCATCCTGGTGTGGCTTTCCTTTCATGGCGGTGCCCTTGGCCTGCTTGGCAGATGCTCAGGACCAAGGCTTGTTCTCCAGGACGCTGAGGTCGGCACAGCGGTCTCTTCTCTCTGGGTCTCAGACTGGGACCTGGTGCCGTTCCCTAAAGAGAAGGGCAAAGGTCAGGCAGAGAATGGGGCTCCCACAGTCTAAAGACCTCAAAGGGGGGCCTCTGTTGCCCTCTTGTCTGGGGGTGGGTGGAGCGTGGCCAAGGGCCCGGGCACAGCAGCTGTTCTTGCCATGGGGCACTGCTCTGGGCGTTTGGGCACTCACTCGTCCATATAAAGTCATCTTGAGCCTGGAGCTGGCTGGGCTTGCCCCTCTGGCTCAGTATAGCTCTAAGAATGGGCTTTGCATTCTCTAGACCTGTGCTGTCCAGTATTGTAGCCATGGGCTACCTGTGGCCAATTTGAAATGAATTAAAATTTAGTAAAATTGAAAATGAAGTTTCCTCAGTCACATTCACCACGTTTCAAGGCCTCAGGCTTCACGAGTGGCTAGTGGCTCCCATAGCCCAGGCAGACAGAAGCCTTCCCATCGTCAGAAAGTTCTAGGATACAGTGCTGCTCTAGCTGACTCCTTTACAGAGCCTCAAGTGAGACTGTGCGCTGACAAATCGTATTTTCTCCAGCCGGGCCGGGAACTGTCCACCCATTGCTGGTACTCTGACCCTCTTCCTGGGGTCCCTTTTGGGGCAGGCCCTCAAAGTCAGAAGCTGGGCTGAGCTGCCAACAGCCTTATTCTCCACGGTCCTCTACTGCCTTGCGGGCTGCTGGACCAAATAAAGTGTGCATCTCTGACCCCAGCAGCAGAGTGGCAAGCTCAACCCCAGCAGCCCCCTGGTGGAAGCTTCTGCAGAATACAAGGTGGGGACCTTCCACAACCTTCACACTGCGGCCAGGTACCTCCCATGCTACTCCACCTTGCAGAAAGTCTTCACCAGCATCTGCCAGTGGGCAGGGCTTCATGCTGGGCACTGTGAGCTACAGACCCCCCCGGGAAGGATCCCGTCCTCTGAGAGCTTCCCACCTAGGAGCGGCCACCCCATGTCGCTTGGCATAGGGGGCTAGGGAGTCTAGAGCCACTGTGTTCAAAGTCCAGCCAGCCGACCAGGAGGAAATTGGCACAGCCAAGGACAGAGGTCCACACAACACGGGGGGATGCTTGTGTGACTTTAATATTGGCCTTTTGTGTTTTTTTGCTGGCAAATAAAGGCCAAGAAGTCTCCCTGGTGTGTGTTTCTTGAGGCGTCACTGGGGATGGATAGAAACATGGAGAGCGGCCCACTGACTCCCGCCTCTGGGGGAGGTGTTGGCTGAGGCCTGCTGGATCACGAAGGACAGGGCCTCGGCCAGTGGTCCCAGGGCCATGCACCTCTGAGCAAATCAGTTAGCCTCACTGAGCCTCAGTTTCCCCAACTAAGAAATGGGATCGTACCTGCCTTGCACGTTTCCTGTGCCCCCTGCCCACAGGAGGTGTTTAGTAAACGAGCGTCACCACGATTTGCTGTGGTTCTGGCTGGGTCACACTCTGTCAACCTGTGATGGAGTGGGTGGGAGCCCAGGGTGAGGACCTGAGGGCAGGTGGAGCCCTAGCAGTCCCAGGCCTGCCTGGACAGGCTACTGGGCAAGAGGATTGGGGGAGAGAGGGTGGCCTGGACCGAGGCAGTCCATCCCTAGGGTGAGCTACCACGGCAGGTCTCTGAACAGTGTCCTCCAGGGGTGCAGGGAGCAGAACGGTGGAGGCCTGAGTTCAAATCCCATCTCTGTCCCCTGAGCTTTGTGGCCCCAGGCGAGTCACAAGGCCTCTCTGGGCCTCGCTTCCTCACTAGGATTCAGGGATCATTCTGATCTCAGAGCTGCTGAAAGGCAAGGGCACCCCCACTGGTCTCCCAAGGGGAGTAGGCCTTCTTGGCCCCCTGGGAGAGTGGACACAGGGTTGCAGGAGCCCTTGCCCTGTGGCCCATGAGCAGCCCCCAACTCAGCCTGCAGCTCTCTCCACAGATGCAGCCCCCCTCATGCCAGCCCCCCGCCCTTCCCTGTGGACGGCCCCAGGACCAACTAGGTAAAGCGCCAGGTGCCACTCTGTGCCACGCTCCTCTCTGGGACTTCCTTGTTTCCTCCTGCGCTGGGGCGGGAGTGCTGGAGGGCAGGCCCCTGGGGCTCAGGGCACCCTTACTCCAGCCTGTGCAGCCTCTCTTCTCCTCCACGGGGGCATCTAGTCCAGCTTCCCCTCCAGCTCCCCTGAGAGCTCCCACTCGAGGCAGGCAGAGTCTGTGGATCCCCGGGCCTCGTGGCTGTGGCCTCCTCAGCACCTGCCAGAGACATTGCTAGGAGCCGGGGTGGGGGAAGGACAGCTGTCTGGTGGAAGAGTTATTGGCTGGGCACCAGGAGATCTGGTTCAAGGCCTGGTCCTGCCTTCAGCTAGCTTTGTAGCTTGGAGCGGGTCCTCTCCTTTCTCTGGGCCTTACCTTGTCCATCTGTGGGGAGGGCCTCTGAACACCTGCCCTGCTTGGCTTAGAAGCTTGAGAAGCCAAGGCCTCTGCACAGGGGGCAGGGCAGGTCCCAACCCCAGGTTGGTGCCCTTGGCCATCCTGGGGCATTTGCCCTCCTGGCTCAGACTCCAGCCCCGTGAGACCAGGCCGACTGATCGCTCAGACCCCTGCCTTCTTCTCTCGGGAGGTTGTGTGGCTTTGTCTCTCTGGGCTGTGTGATCATAAATCATTTCCAGGCCTCATGGGTCTTGTTTTCCTGGTATGTGGGAGAGGTGGGACTGAGGGTCTCTGAGGTCCCTCTTCCTTAAGATGCCCACTCGCCCCCTGCCCTGCTCTGCCCTGCTCGAGTGCTGAGTCGCCGGCCTGCTGGCCTCGGAGGGCTGATGCGTGTCTCCTCTTGGCTCCCACAGGGCGCAGCCCGGAACCCCGAGGACATGGACCGGGAGCGGCGAGAACACGAGCGCGAGGAGCGGATGGGGCAGCTGCGGGGGTCCGCAACCCGGGCCCTGCCCCCTGGCCCCCCCACAGGGGCCACTGCCAACCGGCTCCGCAGTGCTGCCGAGCCCGTGGCTTCCACCCCTGCCTCCCGCATCCAGCAAGCTGGTGAGCAGGGCCCCAGGCGGTGGGCGGGCCGGTGGTGGGTGGGCAGGGCAGCCAGAGCCCCAGGCGGGGCCTCCTGCATGTGCCCACACTGAGGGTGGTCTCCCTCCTGCAGGCAATACTTCTCCCAGAGCCATCTCACGGGTCGACAGGGAGAGGAAGGTGAGCATGAGGCTGCACCGGGGCGCACCCGCCAACGTCTCATCCTCCGACCTCACTGGGCGGCAAGAGGTCTCCCGGATTTCAGCCTCACAGGTGAGCTGCCTGCACCCCAGCCCTCTGGACCTCCCCGCTGAGCCAGAGACACCCAGTCGCATCAGGCCTCTTGGTTCTGCTCTTCCGTTATCCCTGCTTCTTCAGTAAACTCAGAGCCAGTCCTTCTTGTCCAGCAGGGGTTTGGTCGCATGTCATTCTCTGAGGTTTAATCACCCCCGTTGAGCAGAGTCAGACACTGAGGCTCTGAGAAGTAACTTGCCCCAGAAGGAGTACAGCTGGCATTCTGGCCCTTGCTGCTAGGGGCAGCCTGGGGGGGTTCCGGGGGCTCAGAGGAGATGTGGTCCTTGTCATCAGGTAGCCCCACTTGGGGGCCATGTTGGAATAGGAAAGTCGGGAGGGGGTTCATGGTTGCCAGGGCAGGTGTCTGGCAGAGGTAGAGGGAGACCTGCCCTTGTCCCTCTGTTACAGTGGAGGACCCTCAACAGGACAGGCCACGAGCTGGTAGTCTGGCAGCCGTGGGAGTGGATCTGCCAAGGCCACTGACTTGTGTGTGGCCTGGAGTGGTCACGTGCCCTCTGTGGTCCGTTTTCTCATTATCTTCAAAATGGGGACACCCTGGGGTCGTGGAGATCCCACAAACCTTCCATTGGCTCAGGGGCTTAGTGGGCTCCACAGTGGGGAGAGACAAGCCAAATTTCCATCGCCAGCAGCTGAGGGACTTAACTTGATGCCTATCCCTCTCCCACTTCTGTGTCCCCTCCCCGAAGACAAGCGTGCCATTTGACCACCTCGGGAAGTGAGAAGGAGCCACCACCTGACCAGTGTTTGCTTAGGTGAGTGGATGTCTGCTGCAGATGCAGCCCAGCCCAGCCTCTGGCCAGGTCTAGAAACACCCATGGCCCCAGGAGGAAACCAGTATGCGTGTGAGGGGGGTGGGGGTGGCAGATGGGACTACGCATCCCCAAAACCAAACAGCGTCAGGAGAGTTTAAAACCACTGACCATGCTTAACTCAGGGCTGAGGCCACCTCAGCCCAGGCCTGGGCCACACAGGTTAATTTCTGTTGGAAAACTGGCTTCCTGCACTTGGGCCAGTCCTGC